GTTCCTCAACCACACTTTGTCCAATACAATACTGATACATGTAATAGCTTTGAGGCCTCATCAAGCCCATTCGCAGACGACGCACAATCGAGCTTTGCGTCTGCCAACTACTCAAGCGACGCTGCGTCAATGAACATCCTCCAACAGCTCTCTCAACACTCGCATACGCCTCCTATGTCACCCGCCGACATGCGGCCCGCTTCCGCTGGGTCCGCAAACGGTTCGAGCGCGCCAGTCCAGTCCAGCCCTCTTAAGGCTTCGTCGTCACCATCACGGTCGTCTGTCCAGTCTCATCAATTTACAACACCACCGACATCGCCAATCGAGCCCAAAGACGCTCTCGATGAGTTGTTCGACACCATGCCTGACACCTCATACTCTCAGTTCGACCTTGAGATGAAGGCAATGGGCGACTTCACTTCATTGGACTCCTCATCGTACGACCTTTTGGACTTCACCGTATAAATATTCTTACTCGACGCGACGACGCCACTGCGAGGCTGTATGATAACTGTTATGGATTACGACGTATAATGACTCGGCGTTTGCGAAATCTCTGGAAGATGGTTCAACGCATTGCTTTCAATTCTTACTTCTGGGCAGGCTCTCCAAGATCTTGACAGGATCTAAGATCATTCTTAGGAAAGGATCATGTTTCGCTTCTGGTTTTTGTTACTATAGGGGCCGCGCGACGTGGGGAATACGCTCCTTTGGCAGGCACAATTGTTATTTCAAAACGGCGTATATGGTTTGGCTATCTCGACGATTGAACGTCAGAACTAGTGCAGTATTTCTGCTAGCGATGCATCGATATGAACGATGAGCGTTTATGTAGCAATGCGACAATGTTGGACGTCTTGTCAATCGACAAATATGAATTCATCTTGGAACATCACTATCCAGACATAATCTTTACATGTGATTCCCTGGTCAACCAACGAGCTGACAAAAAGCAAATCATGTATCTGATCTATCGAATTGGGGGTGGTCGTCACAGAAACGCAGAAGCGCTAAGTCGTCACGGCAATTAGTTGACGTCACGACATCTGATCGCGCGCACCCGTGTTCGCGACGCGCCAGCCCCCGATCCCTTTCACCCCAACCTTCCCAATTCCATACAGTTTCAGATCGATACCCTGACGTCGATTCTAGATCGGATCTATTGACGCACCAGCACCTGCCAGCCACTTAGAATGCCTCCCGAAGGTGCCATTCCCCACTGTCTCGATCGTACCTGCAGATCAGGACGACATCTATGATGTAGATGCATGGGTCAGACAAAGCCCCCTATGGTGTGGCATGGCATTTGCAATGCGATTAGGTCGGCGATCCGGAATAGCGATGATGTCGGTGCAGGGGTAGATTTGAGTCTGTGGGCTGTTGCGATGTCAGTATAGATGTAGTGTGCCGTCGTTCATGTTAGAGACCATTCCATTCATACTCCCACCGGTACGCCTAGCACCAATCGCACTCTCTTTGAAGCAATGGCTCAGACTACCACCAAAGCTCATACCCTACACTTTTCCTATGACAACGACGATAGCTGTGCTCTGACAGCTCTCATCAATGATGTCCGTTTCCACGTCACTGTCGACCCCAAGGTGCTTCAGAAGTCCTCTGAGAAGCCTCTCTACTACGAATACCTCGACAAGATCTCTGCGCTTCGCGAAGCCGACGAGCGCGAAGAGGAGCTAGCCGAGGAACGAGAAGCAAAAGTGAAGAGCAAGAAGAACAAGAACAAAGACCGACAGGGTTCAGAGGGAAAGGATAGCGGCATCGACGTCACAGCCGACTCTGACGACGAATACGTAGAGGACGACGTCTCAGAAGCAGGAGAAGACGCCGATCAAGACTCTGCGAGCGCAGGCGTTGAACTGCGAAACTGGATCCTCGCCTCCTTCTCCGAAATCACAAACACCTACGCGCCACCGAACCGCGAACCCGAAGAATCCACCCTCTACGAATGGTATCACGGCCCCACCTACTTCTACACCCTACAAATCGCCAGCGGAGAACTCTCACCAGAACTCTTGGAAACGACATCCGATCTAGAAGCCCAAATCGAAGCTCTCGTCCCCCGCATGAAAGTCCCCAAATATATGCAAGACTACAAGCTCCCCTGGCTCAACGCCAACGACCTGATCGTCGAGTCGGAAGTCAGCATGCCACCTCCAGCACACCCAGGCCAAGTCCTCCACAAAGAAACAAACGAGACATACTTCTTCAAACCGGTGGTAGCCGACCAACCCGACTCTGTGAAGCGCGAGATACAGATCCTGCGTAAGATCGAAAAACTAAATCTGGATATCAAGTTTCCCCACTTGCGCGGGTTTGTCGCTCAGGGCAACAGCAAGACTGAAGTCATGGGCTTGTTGTTAGAGAACATCGATGCGCCAACGCCATTGACCAAATTGCTCAGGTCGTCGGTGGATGAGGAGAAAAGGCGTGTTTGGAGTGAAAAGAGCGCGGCGTATGTGTCGTTGCTTCACGACAATGGTATCATTTGGGGTGATGCGAAAGCAGACAACTTCATGGTCGACGCGAATGACGAGCTTTGGATCATTGATTTTGGAGGCAGCTACACGGAGGGCTGGGTGGATCCCGATATCAGTGAGACGCTTGAGGGAGACGATATGGGTCTTGAGAAGATTCAGGCTGCGCTTGAGGATCCGGATAAGAATACGGCGGATTTGGGGTTGGTTGACGAGGAAGAAGACGAGGGAGGAGAGGCGGTGGTGGAGCAAGGATTGAGTGAGCAGAGTAACAGTAGTAGTGTCAAGGAGACGGCTAGTACGTTGTTCGTTACGGAGAAGTCGGCTGGTGAGGAGGTTACGAGGACGGAGAAGAGGAAGAGGGCTGTGGACGAGGTTGAGAGTGAGGTTGGTGAAGATGGAATTGAGCTTGTTGGTGGAGATGAGGACGAACATGCGGAGAAGAAGAGGAAGAGCGAAGAGTGATACCCCTACATAGTACTTGCGCATTAATACCACTACCCTTTCGACACGGTCTTGCTTCCATCCTCCTCATGTCATCCTTGAGTGGTATGCGTGGTCCATTGCACACACCTCTCGTACTATGGGAACAGAGCCGGATTGAGTTGGAGTACTTTGTTGTTATTCAGTCATGAGTGGAAAGCTACACAATTGCACGCTTGCACCTCGCTTTTCCCAGAGATATTTATACACGGCGTTGTCTTCGAATAGTATTCTCTCACAGACGCATTCCGCCTAGTCTTCTTACTTCCTGTTCGCCCTCTGCTCCTTGTCCGCTGTGGTTTGGCTGATGTCCAGACCGAGACCCCTGCTGTCGAGGTAGACCTTGTTTGCGCTCTGCTGCAGAATCTGTGCGATATTCCTTGCGTTCTCGAACTCCCTGAGATCAACGTAACTCCTGCTCTTCTTGATGGCGTCACCAATCAGCTCGGCGGAGCGGGCCTCACCCTGGGCGCGGACGACGGTGGCTTGCTTCTCCTGGCGGGCTTTGTCGACGACGAAGGCGGCACGTTGGGCCTCTTGCTGTGCGACTTGCTTGGCTTCGACTGCGGCGGTGAACTCGGGGGAGAAGGCGAGGTGCTAAGGAGTGTTAGACCATGGTGGGGTAAGAACAGGTGGGCGGCAACTTACTGTTAGAGAGACATCGTCGAGCATGATGTTGAATCTCGCTGCTCTTCGGACCAAGTTGTCGCGTACCAGCCTACTGACGTTCTCACGCTGTGTGATGAGCTGACTGGCATTGAACTGCGCCACGACGCTCTTGAGAACCTCGTTGACAATTGATGGCAGAACACGCTCATCGTAGTCGGTGCCCAGTGTCCTGTAGATCTGCGGCAGAGATTCAACCCGCGGTCTTGACAGTACACGGCAGGTTATGTTGACCATCTGCAAGTCCTTGGTGCCGGTGAGGGAGGCGACGTTTCGGGGTTTGGCGCGCACATCGTAGGTGATGGGTGTCTCGAACCAGGGAATGCGGAAGTGGGTTCCTTCGCTGTAGATTTCCTTCTGGACGCCGCCTACTCGGGTGTACTTGATTGCTCGGTGACCACCGTCGACTATCGCAAGTCAGCATCATTCGTATTATGGCCATTGGAAGGCTCTAGGAGAGAGCTCTTTAAAGAAGACGTACCGTTGAACAGAGCATTGTTCGCCATCCAGATTCCACCACCAACTAGTACCAGGCCTCCAAGACCTCCAAAGAGGCCCTTCGGTGGTCCGCCGCCGCCCGCGCCGCCGAATCGAGAGCCGCGTCGAGTGAGCTCATTCTGGATGCGCGCCCAGGCTTCCTTGGGATCCGGTGCAGACATGTTGGCCGTGAGGGTGAGGGGTTGGCGTGGGGTGCGTGAGACGTGTAGGCGGCGACGATGGCGGATGCAGCTCGGTCATGAGGTAGTCGACGATGAGAAAATGGTAGTCGGCCAATCACGACTCCCGACCGCACCGAACCGCCAAGCAACCTCCGCATTGCTGTATCGCGGTGGCTAGGCCCTTTTGCGACTATATTTTCGGTCACTCGTGCATCGCTTGAAACATTTCATATGTGTCGTACCCACAGGTCGAATGTCTTCGCGGGCTTGACGTCTCATCTTAGATGGTGGCTTACCAGACTTGTCGCAGTATCTCGGCGCATAGACCACCCAATCAATGTCATAGGTAGTCCCGTCTTAAGCACAGCTGTCCATAAGCTCCCCCATCTCCATTCGGTTTCGTTCCTGCCCATCTGGCGGCGGTTCTTCTTTTCTTGTGCATTGCCATCGTTTCGTGATACCCGATTGTTTCTTTCACTCTCGATTAATTGACTTGCGACCGTCGCGTGAACCATTGCGACGCAGGTGAAGCTACTATCAGCCAAGCAGGAGGTACGTTGGTTCACTGCTTTAGCTCCAATTCGACAACCCTCTGACAAGATTCCAGATAGATACACTACGTCGAATATAATCGAGCAACCAATTGCACCCCGAGTCGAGCCTCATCGTCAACCCGAGCACCGCATTGCGCCCCTCCAACATGCACATCACACCGCAATCGCTGCGGACCATTGCCTGGTCGACCCTCGCTCTCTCCACAGCGCACGCCCAATATGTCATAGACAACCTCAGCTTTGGCCAGAAAGCTGGCCAACAAATCTCGCCCGATTACACGACAGTCCCTCACTTCGTCATCCAGGGCTCAGACGACTATGTGCCCCAAATTCTTTCCGACAGAATTATCCTAACACCTCCCTACCCTGGAGGCAAGCGTGGTTCGATATGGGCGCAGGACCCCCTACACCACAGCGGCGACTGGACGGCCGAGTTGGACTTCAGAGCGACTGGCATGGAGCGTGGAGGCGGTAACCTGCAGTTGTGGTACATCAAGGACTCACAAGCGCGGGAGACACCAGCGAGCCTGTACACGGCTCCCAAGTTTGACGGACTGGTACTCGTCATAGACCAGTATGAAGGACACGGCGGCTCTGTTCGCGGTTTCCTGAACGACGGGACCAAGGACATCAGGGCTCACCCTGACCCTGACACATTGGCCTTTGGCAGATGCGATTACGCATACAGGAACCGTGGAGAGCTTACTCCTATCAAATTGCACCACGCAGAGGGTTTCTTAGAGGTCATCGTAGACGGAGAAACCTGCTTCAAGACCAACAAGGTATGCTCTCAAACCCACGCGCTCAGATACACACCACTGACTATCCCCCTAGGTCGATCTCCCTGAAGGCTACTACTTCGGTGTAAGCGCGTCCTCCGCCGAGAACCCCGACTCCTTCGAAGTCCACAAGTTCGTCGTCTCTACCACCAACTCGTACACGCGCGAAGAGCCCAACCTAAGCAAGAAAGACTACATCAACTCCCAGCAACAACACCAACAACAGCAAAACCTCGCCGCCCAACAAGGCCATGAGCAGCAGACACACAAGCAGAACCAAGGGCAGCAGAACTACGGTTCCTCCACCTCCCAGCAAGACATCCCCAAGATGCTCGAAGACGTCCTAGCAGGCAACATCCGCTCGCAACAAGACCAATTCGCCGACCTCCACAACCGCATCCAGATCATCAACAACCGCGTCTATGAAATCGCAGAGACCGTTACACTCATCCACAAGGAGAACATGGAGCGCTGGGAGGAGCTCCATCGCCGCATCGTACCCATGGATGACCGCGCCGCGGCCACAATCCGCAACATGGAAAAGGTTGAGCGCACGACTATGCAGATACTGCGAGACATCGAGAACAAGGATTACAAGGACATGATGCAGCAAATTCATCACGCTCTGGACAGGAACCACGGACACGTCATGTCGAGTTTGCCTGGCATGATGGGTGATGGTAAGTGACAATTCCCGGCCCGATGCGTCTTGAGAGGACATTAAAGCTAACTCGGTATCACAGTTGTCGGCAGCCACGGACCCAGCCTAATGACCTTCTTTTTCATCGCGGTCGCTGTTCAGATTATGATCACTGGTGCTTACATCGTCTACAAGAAGAGGCGAGGCGGCGCGCCCAAGAAATACTTGTAAACCATTCTCCAGGGGCTTGATGTTCTACAAAGAGATGTGCATACATAGGGGTTGGGAGACGTGTACTATATGCTGTACCGGAGAAACGCATTGTTCTCGGTGATTTGTTTGGTAGCTGGCATGGAACACTACATGGCATTGCTTTTATCGCAAAAGGAGCCGGTGATATGTACGCGGCGTTTGGTTTGTGACTCGCCAGGAAAGTAAGCTGAAGTACGTATTCGTACTCAGGTTCATATTCAAGTTGTAGATATCTTCTATGCAATTCGTACCCAAATGAAAAACACCATCTATGCAACGACAGAAAGGAAAGACGTCAAACACCACATGCTCTATGCAGCGTGTCCCAACCATATGTATGCACCAGACCCTCCATAAACAAAGCAAATCCCCCACCCTCCTTGACCTAAACGCTCATCTTGCGCGGCTCAAGCAACAACTTACCCTGCGGCCCAGATTTCTCTTGAAACCCTTCTGTCCTCGAAAAGACACATTGACCGCGTAGCCAAGTCTCCCTCACGACACCCTTGAGCGTCTTGTTTTCATACGGCGAGACCTTGTTGCGGAAGAGCATGGTGTTAGGTTCGACCTGCATTACCGTTAGCCCACAGCCCATCCGTAAATAGAGAGAGGAAAGAAGAAATCGGGAGTTACATACCAAGAACTCAGCCTCGTCATCAAACACAACGATATCAGCATCAAAACCCACACTGATATCACCCTTGCTCTTCTCCAGCCCAACCTGCTTCGCCGTATTCCTACAACACCAGCGTACGATTTCCTCGACGCTGAAGTCGGGATTGCGCTTCGTGCCTTCGGTCCACAAGATAGGTAGACCGAGGCCCACGCTTGAGATACCGCCCCAAGCGCTGAAGAAATCGCCTTTTCCTTCTGGTCCTTGGACTTCGGTCTTGCTGCTCTCACCCATTTTTTTAGGTGCTAGATGCGGGGGTAAGAGTTTGATTTCAGGCGTGCAAGGCGAGTGGTCTGAGACGACTGTTTGAATTACACCATCGGCTGTGTCCTGAAGCAGTTCTTCCCAGAGGCCATCTTGGTTGGATTGGGAGCGGATGGGCGGGCAGCATTTATGTCTTGTGTCGCCTTCTTGAATGCCTTCTGAGGCGAGGGCGAGGTAGTGGAAACAGGTTTCTGCTGTGATTTTGATGCCGTCGGCGCGCGCTTTACGTAGCATGGGGATGGCTTCGATGGCGGAGAGATGCACAATGTGGAGTTGCAGGTCGGGGGCGAGGTGGGCCAGGGAAAGGATTTCGGCTACGGCGCAGGTTTCGAAGGATGGTGGGCGGGATTGAAGGAATGTGTCGTACGAGGTTAATGGGCCTTTGGGGGCGAGTGGAGGAAGGGATTGTTGCACGTCGTCGCCTACGGAGTCGGTGATGGGTGGGATCATTTCGGCGTGGAACATTAGTGTTGTTGTTGAGTCTTTGAGTTCTAGGAGCGCCTTTTCAATGTCAAGGGATGAGACGGCGGGGAATTCGTCAACCTGGAGAGTGGTTAGTATCACGTGCCGTTGAAGGTTTGAGATGGATGAACTTACTCCACTGTCACACAGGAAACCCTTGAAACCCCGAACACCCTCCTTGACTAAAGCCTTGAGGTCTCCTGAGTTACCGGGGATGATACCACCGTAGAAGCCTACATCAACCCAGCACTTTCCCTGTGATGCTTCGCATTTGATCTTGAGGTTCTCGACCGTAGTCGTAGGAGGGATGGCGTTCAAGGGCATGTCGATGACAGTTGTGACACCGCCGAATGCCGCAGCCCGGGTGCCAGTCCAGAAGCCTTCCCATTCTGTCCGGCCAGGCTCATTGAGGTGAACATGGGCATCGACAAGACCAGGTAGTAAGATGTGTGGCGAGTAGTCGGTGTAGGGCGTGCCTTCAGGGAAGTCTGTAGGAGGAAGTACTGAGTGGAAGATGGAAGTGATCTTTCCTGTCACGTTTGATACAACGATGGTGGCCTCAGTCAACCGACCAGCAACGACCGCTCTTGACGAGGCAAGGACTGTGATGGCTTGAATGGGTTGCTCGTGGGAGACGGGTGGAGGCGTAGTTGCGTGGGGTGCCATAATGCCAAGTTGGAAATGTAATCGACAGTGAGAAGACGAGGACAAGAAAAGTGTGCGCAAAGAAGTCTGAAAGTGCTCAGCTCCGTGCTAACAGCAAGAACTATATACAGCAACAAGCCCCGAACTCGGCAAACGCGGGGAAGAAGGTGGGCGTCTCCGGGTGAGCTGCAGATAAGCGTTGATAAGGCACGTTTGGTGTTGCGCCTAACAGATGTCAAAGAGGAAAGTAGGTTGTATCTTGCTGAAAGTTGGCAAAGCGGTACTTTCAAACAGAGAAGACGCTTGAGAGAAGAGATGCGCTCAGTAAGTCGTTATCAAAAACGCCAAAACCTGGGGTACAGGCCCTTATCTACCCGTTGGTATGGGCCAGCCCAAAGATCCTCTCGGGGCATTGTAGCCAGAATCTGGGTCAGCTAACATGGCGTCAGGGGACTGTGGAGCATCGGCGAACCCTGGAATACACGTTGCTCGATTCTATCGAGTAACTAGGGTGGAGGTAGTCTATCGCGGCCGCCTTAGCCATGCATCTCGACCCTGTCTCCCGTTGGTCGATTTAGTGTAGATACGAGGCTATTCGCCCCGGTACTGTATGCTCTCTCAAGATTGGGCATGTGAGATATTTGCTGTCTATATTGGGCGCGCATCATGAGCTGTTTCTCCGTCATCATTGCTCGAAGGTTGGTTCGTCGAAGATTGGGTAGAGCGTGGGAATCGGTAAACTTCCTAAACGTGTTGCTGCACGTTGCGGATGGTGTTGGGGGACGTGCATGTGTTACTGATAAGCAGCTGCAAGGGTATTGCTGCACGCGATAGGCGCACAGTAGATCGCGCGATTAGAGCCCTCAGACTAGCGCAGGGTCAACGGCGGAGCGTCATACTTCTAGAATCTCAGACCCAGGGCCTCTGTGATAATTTATTTACTGCTTTCCTTACGGTTTGCGTAAAGATTGAAGACGGAAACACACGATTGTTGTGAACTGCTCGTTGGCATAGAAGGTGCGAGTTCGAAGACATCGGAGTAAGGCCCGATTCCATCGGAGAAGCTAAGCATATGTCAGCCAGCGTAACTCCCAACACGACCTTCCCATTACTCGATAGAAATCGAGTAAAGGAAATACGACGCGCCGAAGACTGAGGCGAGCCGTAGACTAGACCCATGCGAACGCCCTGACTGTTCGGGGCTGGCCGACAGCCATATTGTCAACCGAGAACCCGAACGCGCCCGGGTCATGCTGGTGCCGTTCTTCTACCTACTTCGTCCAAGCAAGCGCGACTACACCTGGACATTTTACTGAGACCTCGAAATGCGAGGATATGTATAGATGTGAAGAGACGGTCATACTGTGGTTTCGGGGGGGTCCGATGTTCTGTCATGCTATGATCGTCAGTGTGAGTCGTCTATCGCAAGCGGCGAACTACGGCACTGAAGCCCTGTCCTCAGGGTAACTATCGAGTAACGAAAACTCGACGCCTCTCGGTTTCTGGAATTTTCAGTAGCGCGCCAACACGACGGACGTCGCAAAGACGATCGCTGCTCTCGACTCGCTCTGGCCACCGGCAGGCTCTGCAGGCACGATGGGCCGAACTGCCTCTACATTGGCTGCGTGCGCCTACGGGCAACTCAGTGTACTCGGAGTAGCGGTAAGGACCCTGCAGCTGCGCTTCAACGCCGAAGACAAGTTTTGCTTACGTTTGCCCGGGTGATTCAAGGCCTGTTGCTCAGCATGGTACGCAATGGTCCTAGCCGGCATGTCAAACGGGCTGCTGCGTCCACCTCATACCAGATAAAAACTAAACAGGCCTAGAGCCTACATCGACGCCAGGTCACCTATCTTGTAGGTTTTTATGTTGATGTAGGCTGCAGACCCGTTCAGTTCTTTTCTTGATTGACGTGCGTCCGACAGCGGCTCGGTGATCAGCGTCGACAGGCATAATTGCATGTCTGACGCGTACTTGTTTGTCTGTGAACGGTGCCTGTAATATTCATGCACTGGCTGCCACATTCAGAACGGCAGGCAAGTGGGAAGATCAGCTCAAAGCGGTTCAACGAATATTGGTAAGCTGGTATTGTGTGTCATATGAGGGAGGGCCAGCAACACCTGTAGCTTCTTTGAGAGCTTCGTTAGCTGAATATGATGGCCCCGTCCCCAAGCAGCCTAGCAGCTAATGATGTACACCCAACCTCACTTCTTCAGCGTCAACTGCTTCTTCTGCGGGAACGAGGATGGCTTCGACACTTTGTTAGCTGCCAACAGAGTTCGTGAGTTGTAAAGACTGGCTTGGAGTCCATATTCTGCAGCCGTCTCGCGTCTGAGATCCAGATAAGTGTAGGCGTCTGGTTTGTAGTAAATGGTCCTGCCGACGTTGATGAGACCCATGGTCTCAAGCTCATGGAGTACTCGCAGTACATCGTCAGCGTCCAGGAAGTCCTTTGTGTAGACACAGACTATGGAGGGTATTTCGTCAGTAGTTGTGCACTACCTGTCGTACGTCAAACTTACTTAGTCGCTCGTCCTTGCCGTCGTCTGTGGCCACCTTGCAGGTACAGCCAAGTCGATTATCGATCACATTCGCGACAACTTGCTTCCAGACCCGAGCAACTTCCACAGCTTTAGGGAACAACATCCACTAACACCAGTTAGTGATCGGAAGAAGTGAATGATCGGGCAGCTAATGGAACTTGCCTTTCCGGACAGAACATGCGTGTCCTTTGCAAGGTCTGAGATCCGTTCTTGTAGAGCTTTGCTCTCTTGGAGGAGCTGTTTAGTGACCATACCCCTAGGCCCCTTCGCGCCTTCTTTCTGGATGTCGCGGCGGGTCTGGAGCGACTGTTGAAGCAACTCCGTGCCACGCGATGTAAAGTCTTGAACACGTGGCGAAGGTGACTTGTCGCGAGGGTTGCGATACGGATTAGCAGCCCAGATCCAGGGACATGTAGAGATGGAGGTTGTATATGGAGGAAGTCGCCTGACAAAGTCATCAACAGGCTCGCCTAGCTGCCACGCATCATCCTGCCCTTCCAAAGGATTGAACAGTTCAAGGTTCGAGGCCGGCACAGGTGAGGGCTCTCGCTTTCGCTTGCCTTGTCTTGCTAATCGCTCCTGCTCCATAGCTTGGCGGTCGTTACCCGACATGTCGAAGGTGTTAGTCTTTGCCGCAGGTTGCTTGTCTGACACGGCTCCATCTGATGGTGGTGCTGGTGTTCTTGCGGCAGCCGCGATTGTGTTTAGGTCTTTGGCATGTGCGCGCCAGAAAGGTCCGGTCTTGAAGCTTTCACACTTTTTTGATTGGTGTTGTTTTTCATCCTCGTCACCTAAACCCACCGTCAGTCACTTCTCATGGGATTAGCTTGAGGTGTCCAAACTTACCATAGAAACTGCTATCATCTGAGATCCACCCTTCTCCGGACACAGTATCCTCCTCCGCCATCGTCCGCACTGTGATTACTATCGCAGGTCATGCCCTGCCCAGGTGAGGTTTGAGCGATGTGGAGAATGTTTGCTCGACTTGACGCGATATGACGAGCGATGGTTACACGGATGGGGAAGGAACGAGGGACGGCGGACAAGGGTATCCCTGCAGCCCAAACGCGCCCGCGACCACTATACGCGAACGCGTCGGCCAACTCTTTCACCCCCAGCATCCGCATCCTCACAACATATACCTCCAAATCCAATCGCATGACTTCCGAGATGCCGCATTCAGTTACGCCAGATTCAACGCTCGCAGAGGAGTCTTCAACGGCAATGTCCCAGTCGGATGCTATCAAACCCGAGCCAGACACGCAAGATGTTGCAATGGAAGACGCACCCACAGCCACCGCGGTAGAGAAGCCCAAGGTAAACCTCGAAGAGCTCTTCGACGATGAAGATTCAGACGAAGAGTTTCCTTCGAGCGCGCCAGCACCTACGTCGCAGGAGGATGCCTCGCAACCCGCACCAATGTACGCCCCACCTACCGACACACCACATTCATAACACTTGCTGACACCGATACAGCAAGATCACATCGAAATCCTCCTTCTCCGACCCAGACGTCATGCGCGCATTCTACCAACGCCTGTTCCCCTTCCGTCCCCTCTTCCAATGGCTCAACCATTCCGCAACACCCAGCAACGACTTTGCACACCGCGAATTCGCCTTCACCCTACCCAACGACGCATACCTGCGATACCAATCCTTCCCAACAGCCGATCTCCTGCGGAAGCAATGCATAAACATGCTGCCTTCTCGTTTCGAAATCGGTCCCATGTACAGCACAAACCCGAGAGATAGGAAAACACTGCGGAAAGCGAGCTCGTTCCGTCCTTTGATGAAAGAGCTGGTCTTTGATATCGATATGACGGATTACGACGACATCAGAACATGTTGCACGGGTGCAAGCATCTGTCTCAAGTGTTGGGGCTTCATCACAATGGCCATCAAGACCATCGATGTTGCTCTACGGGAAGACTTTGGCTTCAAACATATCCTCTGGGTGTATTCTGGTCGTCGAGGAGCCCACGCCTGGGTTTGCGACAAGCGCGCACGAGAAATGGACGACCAAAAGCGCCGCTCCGTAGCCGGCTATCTCGAACTACTCAAAGGAGGTGACCAGGGCGGCAAGAAGGTCAACGCGCGACGACCTCTACATCCTCATCTCGAGCGCAGTCTGGCTATCCTGAAAGAGCACTTCCAGACCTCCATCCTCGCTGAACAAGATCCCTGGGCCGCGGAAGAAAAGTCCGCGCACCTCCTCGACCTCATCCCAGACCCCACGCTCAGAGCAGCACTAAAGAAGAAGTGGGATTCTGCGCCCTCCCGCCCCAGCGCATCGAAATGGAACGACATTGACGCGTTAGCCAAGTCTGGCGCCCTGTCAAAGACGCCCAAAGACCTTCTCGAAGCCAAGCAAGACATCATCCTAGAATACACATACCCCCGTCTCGATGCCGAAGTCTCCAAGAAACTTAACCATTTGCTCAAGTCGCCATTCGTAATTCACCCCGGAACAGGGCGTGTCTGTGTTCCAATCGACACACGGACAGTGGAGGATTTCGATCCGTTGAGTGTACCAACAGTCACGCAATTACTCCAGGAGATCGACGATTGGTCAGGCGAAGAAACCGACAAGAAGATACAGGATTGGGAGAAGACCAGCTTGAAGCCGTACGTAGACTACTTCCGACGGTTTGTCGCGGGCTTAGTGGACGAGGACAAACCAGCGCTGAAGAGGGAAAGGGAGGAGGGCGCCGATGCCATGGAATTCTGATGATATACCGTTCACCAAGAACATGAGGGCATGTAGGGCGCCTGGCGTTGGGGAAAGAAAGATTGAAATATGTACGATGCATCTCGACGTTCTCAATATCTACCCACTACCATACTCACTTCAAAATTCCACACCCCACATCATACCTTAACCAAGATTACCCAACGAACATACATTCCCCTCCATAGTACAATATGGCATCTGAATCGGCTCCGCCCCAATCCCCTTGGCCACCAACCTTTCTCTCATCTCACTCAACCGAGGTGCCGCATCAATCTGACTCCTGTTCTGACCCATCTCGTCCTTGGCACCCGACCATAGTACTTCCGCAGCCGCCGCGGCACGGGGCCAGATCATCCTATCGACATTAACGGGATCGGTTTGCTCGGCCCACATGTGCGCTTCGCCGCCGATGACGAGATGCTGGTTCTCCGCAGGAACGCCGTGTAACGGGTCGTACGAGTAGATTAGTCGCCAGTTGTGGAAGGGGGCGCAGTAGTCTTGGTAGGGGTAGTAATTCGCGCTGACGGAGGGGTAGAAGTTCAACCATTGGCCTTTGCCGCAGTCGAGGTACTGTTTGGATTTGTTAGTACACGCGAGATGTTATGAAGAAAGGAACATGTAGGATGGAGAGATAAGAGTTCCGCTTACCCAGTAGTTGTAGTTCCCAACTATAGCTTTATGTCCCTTTGACACAATCTGTGCAACTGCTTCGTCGCTCTGCCACGATTGCACGAGTACATCGGAACCGAGCGTTAGGTTCCATTCCAGCAGCATCTCTTCCCACACCACAGGCGTGAGTCCCATGGCGCGTACTTGATCATGGTTCCGATCAACAAACTTCTGCATGAGCGGTTGCAGGATCGCCGAATCGTTGCTCTTGACCGTGTCATCAAACAAATACGCGTTCTTGTTCACTTCATCACCACCAGTGTGGAAGTACGCTGAGTAGGGAGACACTCTAGGTAGTACATCATCGAAAAGCTTCTCTAGGAAATCGTAGACAGCGGGCGAGTTTAGTTTGAGTGTACCAGAGGGTGGAGAGGCGGCGTACGTGTTCCAGTCTGGCTGTATGCCAAACGCAGCTATCAGCTCTGGGAAGCTGTAATGTATGCTTGAGGTGTGGCCTGGCATGTCGATTTCGGTGATCATTTCTACGCCTTGAAGCGCGGCGTAGCGTTGTATCATCGCGAAGTCGTCGACTGTGAGGACTAGATCGGGTCGGTATGCTCCCTTGGCCGATAGCTCGGGCATAGACGGTATTTCCAAGGGCCAGGACTGGCTGTCTGTTACGTGCAGGTGGAATTTGTTCATCTTGTTGTAGGCAGCAGCGTCGATTTGCCGTTTGATGTCGGCTGTGGAAAAGTAATTACGCGACACATCAAGGTTGATACCGCGGTGTTGGAACTTCGGACTGTCGGTGATTTGAACAGGTGCCAAGGGTGTGTATACATGCTGCTGATCGGAGTGTGCGTAGAAGAGTTGAGAGAATGTTGTCAAGCCTCTTGCTATTCCTACGCTGGTGTTTGCGCTGATGCTTGCAACCCCCTCTTTTGTCAAGGTCAGACGATAGGACTCGTCAACCTCCCCAGCTAGTGGCTTGGTGACATTAGAGTCGGCGGTTTTGAGCACTTTGACGTCGACGCGAGAGATGTATGACGTATTCGACTGGCTTGGAGACGGCTCATCCCAGTCTCTAGGGTGAAATTTCCATGGGTAAAAGTTGGCTTGGAAGAGTGTTGCCCATGTAGAATTGATAGCGTACACAACAATGTCGTCGCTGGTGACGCTTTCCCCGGTGGCTGCTTCAGACTTTTCGCTAGATACCGGCCCTGTGTATTGCGTGCGCAATTTCAGGTCGCTGCTGTCCTGTGCGTGTGGAGCTTGGTTAGAATTGAAACCGAAGAGAAAAGGGATCTGATCCATGGTTGAGCCTACATTTCTTGCGCCAGGTTCATACCAATAGAATGGTACATCTTTTGCGATGAAAAGAACAGTATCGCCATATTCATGTGAGACAGGTACAGGCCAAACGGCTGCTACTGAGGATATGAGAAGAGATAGTGCAGTACATGTAAGAGGCTTCATGTTGCAAAAAGACCGATCAAGATGGGAAGAATCAAAAGATCGTTGAACAGGAGAGAAGAGACGGGTGGATTACGATCTATGTATAATAGCGAAGACTGGCGCAAGGAATTATACCAATGTAGGCCCGATCCGGATGCTCCGAATGGTTTCTCGAAGCGTAAGCTCCTGCGGTATTCCCGGCAGTTGCAACGATTGATAATATATCGATGCCAGTACAGTAGAGTATATAGACTTGGTCTGAGATAAGCAAGTAGTAACCTTGTGGTAGTATCGCGGTCCTTGACTAGAGAGTTCGACAAATGCGAGCTAACCCTGAAGTGGGGCAAACCGTGCGATCGAGCAAAAGGTACGATGACGTGCGGGCGTTCAGCTGTCAGCCTCTTCTTCAGCGAAACTTTATCAGCTCCGACTTGAGCTCCAAGCTGCTGTAATGTGCCACCTGAGCCACGCCCTCTCCACATCGCATGATCTTCTGGGGTTGTCCGCGGGTTGATGATGACGGGAAGATGCAGCCGACTCGGCAAATTGGGCGATCAGCGACAAGATGACGGGAGGTATACGCGTCGCATGTTTTCCCGCAAGCAAGTAGCTGAATCTTCGCCAGTCACAAACATACTGTCTTCTGCTTTGTATGCTGTCCAGTATGACAACAGCAAGGTGGTCGGAACCCCAAGTCTTCCAGAATTCGTCCGAGCGGCCACGATGCTCCCACCATCCCCACATGGTCCAGCTATCTCGATCGCTCTTCCCCGCTTTTGCAGGGCATCAGGGATGCGCATGAGCGCACGACAGCTACGCGAGCCCTTAGCATTGCTCCCTTTACGTCGAAAATTGCGAGTCTTGCGGCACGGGGGCTTTCAGATGTCAAGCCGAGGTGTCCCAAGAGCACACGACGCTCTGATTGCACCACGACGGGAGGCAGCAAGCTCGTGTGCCATGAAGAAAGTTTAGCATTGCGGCGCCAATGTTCTTCACGTCTCCAGGCAGCTGTCAAAACTCGGCTTTCTTGTCGATCCGAGAACTTTAGGGTAGGTCGATTACCCGCCGGTAGTCCACTCGGCGTTCATAGCGCATTCTCTTCCATGTGAATGCCACCATATATGCGGTGCTAATACCCTGCGAAGCGCCATCCGTCTTAGACGCATAGTCGCGAATCGCGACCGAGCTCACGGACATGACGAACTATTTCTCGACTCCCTATCTCCTCGGCGCCGCAGTTGTCCTGTACATCGGCTACAGGCTCGTCCAGCAGATCAACACCGATGCGCGAATTCGCAAGCTGGGCGCTCGAGCGCCAGTCCGAAAGACATACTTCCCGTATGGCGTTGACATGGCATACGAAGTTGTCACCCATGCTCTGAAAGACAAGTCGTACGAGCTATGGGTTGCCATGTTCAACAAGTGGTGCGGTCCAGGACGATACACAATTGAGGCTGGCGTTGGCGAGCGCGTGGTTCTGACCGCAGACCCCGAGAATATCAAGGCTATTCTTGCGACACAATTCAAGGACTACGGCAAGGGAGAGCAGTTCAGGAAAGACTGGCACACCTTCTTGGGCAACGGTACGTATACCAGAGAGTGGGGTCCTAGGGCAACTACGCCGCATCAGACCAAATGAATGGACGGTTACTGACTTTCGCATAGGTATCTTCACTACCGACGGGCAACTATGGCACAACTCACGCCAGTTGATCCGACCGCAATTCGTCAAGGACCGCCTCAGCGACATCGACATCTTCGAACAGCACACCCAAATCCTTATGTCCAAGATCGCCGAGAGTGAGGAGATCGATACGCTTGATATGATGTTCAGGTACACATTGGATGCCGCTACACATTTCCTCTTGGGCCAGAGTGTGGGCAGTCTTGACGAGCCACAGACCGTCTTCGCAGATGCTTTCTACAACGCTCAGCGTATACAGAGCTTTGTGTCTAAGATTGGGTACGTAGACTTACTCCAACACATCAAGCTTGTCACTAACACCACGTAGACCTCTAAACTGGCTTATCCCCCGCAAGTACTTAGGCTTCTACGACTCGATCAAGATCATCAACGACTTCGTCAACCCCTTCATCGACCGCGCCCTCGCGCTCTCCCCAGAAGAACTCGAGAAGAAGACAAATCACGATGAAGGCTACACATTCCTCCACGCGATCGCAGGATACACACGCGACCGAGACATGCTACGCGACCAACTCGTCTCCGTCCTCCTAGCAGGCCGCGACACAACCGCGTGCACCCTAACATGGGTAATCTACCACCTATCCATCGATCCAACCATACTCGCCAAGCTACGTGCGGAGATTCTCCAGACTGTCGGTCCAGAGCGCCAGCCCACCTACGAAGACCTGAAGAACATGAAGTATCTCCAACATATCCTGAACGAAACCCTCCGTCTCTACCCGGTCGTCCCATACAACATCCGCCTCGCCCTCAAAGACACCACGCTTCCCGTGGGCGGCGGGCCCGACGGCACGCAACCTATCGGCATCCTCGCCGGCACACCAATCGGCTACTCAACCCTCGTCATGCAGCGCCGCGAAGACTTGTACCCACCCACGTCTGCTTCCTTCCCTCCGCCCTCGGTCTTCGCGCCTGATCGATGGGACAACTGGAACCCGAAGACGTGGACCTATGTGCCGTTCAACGGCGGGCCTAGGATCTGCATTGGCCAACAGTTTGCGCTTACCGAGATGGGGTATACGCTTGTTAGATTGTTCCAGAGGTTTCAGACGGTGGAGAACAAGATGGGTGGAGCGGATCCGGGGATGCATGCGGATATTGTATTGCAGCCGGCCAAGGAGATTAAGGTCGTCTTCAGATAGGGTGAGGGTGTGGATGGAGGGACGTGGTGATGGGTCAGTGGACAGGGAACTAGGTGCAGGAAGCATTGGAGGTTGACGATGTATGAGCGTTCGCGTTTCTTCCATGTGCATGTCGCTCTCTTGCTCTGCTTAGTCTGCTTAGCTTAGTGCTTTGCGATGTACTGTCGTTGTCTAGTATACCCGTCAAGACACACCACCCTACTGTTAATCTCATGAAGTCTTCTGGGCATACCTGCACCTATTCTCTAGCTTTCTGCCAGCATCACGTCGTCCCGATGTAAAGAAAACATGGATCTCTCAAACATCACAGCAGCTCAACATCATAAGTCTCTGGGAAACAGTGTATAGTACCAATCCTCATTGTCTAATTAACAAGTCGTGTCAAAAACGCCTGGGTATCTTATCATACACTTTCCGAACAGCAACAGTAGAGGAAACGAAAGAAAAGAAACGGGCTCATCGTGACTCGTAAGAAATGAGCGAAGCAGAGACGATGCCAATACACCCTGTCCTCTTCGTGCTGGACATGCTAGCATGTCATGACGCAAGCAAAGCGGGTGTGCAACATATTAATCGATGCTTACGCCCCGAGCAGGTTGTACACAGCAAAACGCACGAGGAGGTTCTTCTTCTTAAGCCTTTACGCCCCGAGTCCGTGGTGCGGCGCGCTTGGTCGTCGAGTCTGTGCCTCGTGCTTTGGCGGTGCCTGCGGCCTGAGAAGAAGAGGAGTATTAGCTGACGTATCTCTGATTGAAAGGAATGAGGGATGATTTACCTTCTTTCCCGGCTTACCCTCCACATCACCAATGATCTTCTCCGCCTTTCCCACAACCTTATCGACAACCTTCTCCGTCTTGGTCCTCGGCTTCTTGACCGTCTTGACGTTGGGGCCGGTTGTCTTCTTTGGTGCAGCAGCGGCCTTGGGCTTGGTCGCAGTCGTCTTCTTAGTAGTGGTCGTGGTAGTGGCAGCTTTGGGCTTGGTGACGCGGCCAGAGGCTACTTTGCTGGTGCGGGGCTTGGACGTGTTGGCTTTGGTGGTGGTGCTGCGTTTTGTGGGCGCGACTGCATTTTCGATTTGCTGGACGAGACGGGGCTTGGAGTTGCCTTTATGAGAGTTATGTCAGTATGTTGCTGCTTGGTAGGGGAGAGGTGGGCGTGTATGGAGGCGTGGTTGGGGCAGTGCAGGGCTGTATGCGTGTGCCGAGCTTGTGGAAGAAGGGGGAAAGCTTACCAGTTCTCGCGCGTGTAGTAGCGGCCATCTTGCTTGGTCTGAAGGTTTCGAGTAGTTTCGAGTGTTTTTGTAGTGCGTGTAGCGGTGAGTCGAAGCTGCATGACAGATTAGTACGCGTGCCGCGTAACTTGGAAGCAGTGCGCGAGATGCGAAGCTTCCCAAGAAGCTATGCTATCATAAGTGAAGAAGTATATTGAGGAGACGCAGGCGATCAAGAAATACACAAGAAGAAGGCAGAAAAAGCGCGTTGTGCAAAACGCGCGCGAAGTCCTGCTGCCATGCCGCCGACGTGGCTCGTGGAAGCGCAAAAAAGCAGGCGATCGCACAGATATTTGCGCTTCATAAGTACAGAAACGGAAGGAAAGGAAGGAGGCGACTTACTTACAGCTATCGGCGACAGTATCCCGGGTGTGGTGTGCGGACGCGACAAGATTGGTGTTGTAGAAAGTGGGAGGGTCGAGGTCAGAACGGGCGGGGGAAGCTCGCACTTTAAACTCTCAAGCGAGACGGAGGACGTGTCTCATCACAACAACACATGGCAAGGTCAGCTGGGCCAATGAGCGATCCGCTAAACCAGCTCGTATCATATGGGAGCTTCCCAATCAGGCTGTTGGGCTTTGAAAGGGTCTAGTCGGATTCGCAGCCTTTTGCTGCGTGAGGTGTGTGCCTGCCTACTTCGCAACACACCGCTCTCCCTCTCTCCGGGGCTACCGTATTACCATGATGGTCTGTCACGACCGCGAGAGAAAGGTTACAGGCATGAACGCGTGTCTGAACATTTTTGTAGTAGGCTAATGAATTGTAGCACTTGTATTCATCTATCATTCGTTCGTACAGCTAAATAGCCGCCCGTGTCAGCACCCATTCTATGGGATCCCTAAGCGCCGCCCATGTCCATGGTCGGGGCATATGTTTAAACCTCAGATAACTTTTGATCCCTTGCCCAAACGCCGTGCGAGCTCTGACGCTCATGCCCAATACTCATGACAGCCTTCTAGCGAGTAGCTGAGTTGCTACCCTTTGCCATGCGCTTGCTCATGAAATCGAAGAAAGAGAATTGACTGGCTGATACACCGTACTCGTAAACGAAGCGGCTGGCGAGGTAACTTCCGAAAATGGCACGTAGATAGTTGTCGGGTACCTGTATGCTCGTTAGTCCATGCTTCAGCTGCGCAGTATTGGTTGTGACTTACCCTCTTGATAATCTTATCGAGGCCGATCTTCTCGAGTAGGATGTTTGGCAACGCCTCCTTGAGAATCGACTCCCGGAACTTAACGTCCTTCCACAGCTCAGTGTTCTGTAACTCCTCATCCAGCTTCGTGATTGCGGTACTGAGGGTGTCGCTGAGAATGCTGCGAGGCTGACCAGTCTCCTGGTGTTCCCTCCAGATGGCCTCGAACTCAAGACGCGCGTTGTTCTGGATAGTCTTCTGCACTTCCCGAACGTAGTTGTTGTAGAACTCTGGCGCCTTGCCATCTTCACCAACGCACATGTGCTTGAGGAAGCTCTCGTCGTCGAATGCCAACGACGCAAGCACTTCAAGCGAGGAAGATGTAACACCGCCCTTGTTGGCTGAAGCATCCTTGTATAGAATACAGCCGGCCTTCTCGAGACGGAGCTTAGCGTCCTGAGTGATGAACAGGTTCGCACCTTCCACAATGTACGGGATTACCGACTTGCCGTCGACAATGAGTTTGTTGGCGGTTGACAGATCGATAGACTCGGGTCGGCCACCGCATGGAACAAAGGAATCGTAATGCATGTCACTGCGAAGATGGAACGTGTTTCGGAAGGTTGTGCCGTTGTACACGAGGTCTCCGTTCGGTAGTCGCTTGTTGGTGTCGTCAACCAGAATACGGTAGCCTTCTGACGATAGCTTCGAAGCATCGAAGTGGTTGATCATCTTGCGCTCTCTGGCTAGACGTACCAGCTCCTCGTGGTTGATTCCATTGTTGTCGACCAAGACACCGGAACCGTCAACGATAGCAACGTACTTCTCGTTACTGAGCAGAATCTCGTTCGAGCCAAGATCACCATCGGGGCCACCTGTCTGCAGCTTGCGGACCTTGCTGGGGTCGAGGTTAAGCTTGCGGTAGATACCCAGGACGTACTCGCGGACAGACAGAGTTGTCATGCCGTATCGGTCGTGAGGGATACCACCCAACTTAGGGCTCTTTCCAGTGAAGAAAGATTTCCACCATGGCGCACCACGAGCACGCGCATGCTCAGTAGCCCAGTCGACGAGATCAGCAGTGTTCTCGTCGGGACCCATGAAGAGGATCTCCTCCTTGCCGTGGAGATCGACAATAGGATCCTTGATACCAGGACTGGTAGGAGGCAGGAGAAGATCGAGGATACTGTCGATGTACTTCTCAAAAGCGCCCCGGGCCTTGTCCTGGTGCTTGAAGTCAAGGAGAACAACACCCTTGGAGCCACCCTCTGGGATGTCCTTGTTCTTACGTTGCTGCGTGTTTGCGAGGTTGTAGTTCTCGTCAAACATGGAGCGCGCGTTGATGGAGTATGCCTCCTGACTCCTAGATTTGACGATACGGATGCCACCACGGGCAATGTCGCGGAAGCGAAGATGGAAACCACGGAACTCGGAGCCAATGACGAGGAACATTCCGTACAGCGGCTGGGGGTATTCTGTGGAGGGTAGGAAGTTGGGATTTAGGCGGAAGCTGATGGCGACCTTGGTGGGAGTGTAGAAGTTGGTCTTCAGCACTGACTGGTTGAAGACACGGAAAGCAGTCATCACCATCTCGTGGTGGTCGTTGACAACAGCCTTGTTAATGGTGTCGGTCAGTTCCGCATCTGTTTGGACCTTGTCGACCTGGAGGCGGAGATAACTCAGAGTTGGTAGGAAGTCATCCTCTTGACCCCGAGTCTGGACGTAGTGAGTCTTAGCAAATGGCAGATACAAGGTGTGAACCAGTTCCGGGTAGGTCATGATGATCTCGTAAATGTAGTCCGCGGTAAAGGTCTCGGCACGTAGCCGGCGCTTCAGCTTAGATAGCAACTCGGCATGTACACTGTTCTCTGGGTCCAGAATAGCCGACAGAGCAGTGTATTCGCTTCCAAGTCGGTTGAGGAAGTGGGTAATGAAGACCCAGACGCAGTGTGCGTAGATAGTCTCTTGTAGACTCAGTCTGCTCGTAGCAAAGAGCGTCTGGAATTTGTTCTGCGGAAGACAGTAGAGCAATGAAACCTCCTTGGTGATCTGGTGGATCGAGGCTTCAATCGGTGGGTGCTTGGCACCGGCAGCTCCTGGAAGCGGGCGCAAGTAGAGAGACATGACAGTGTAGCCGTTGGAGAACTGCTCGACATACTTTCGCGAGGTAGTCAGGCCGTAGTAATGGTACAGGTCGCTCAGAGCACTGAACAAACCCAAAGCACTTCCGCGCTTGAAGCCGACAACCAGACGCTTGTCTCTTGAGCCTTCGATGTCGAAGTGGTCAATGACGGGACCAGTACGCTCTACAGCGACTTGGAGAATCTGCTGGTAGATGACCTTTGTGTTTTCAGTCGCCTTCTGCAGGAAACGCTTGTCACCAATCTTCTCAATGTTGGTCTCTGTCTCGCTGGGGTTGGGGTCGACAAAGTCGCACTGGTAGACGAAGTAGCAGCGCAATTGCTGGTCGTCGCTGCCTGGTAGTGGGCTCTCCGAACGGAAGCTCTCTACACGGTATGCGAGGCCAGGCTTGGATACAGCCAGGTACTTCTTGCCCAGACGCTGCTCGTACTGAGGACCGTCAATGACGGACACACCGGGTCTGCTGGTATCGATATATACGGCGTGATCAGCGGCTTCCTTGTCGAGCCGGATCTCGAGGCGCTTGTCGTCTCTGGCGTATGCGGCGACCTTTGCGGCGTAGAGCGAATGGATGTGGCTGATGATACTGTAACGTCTGTTAGCGCAGTCCTCGCAAGAATTGCAATCATGCTTACGCTTCCACCGTCTCGGTAGCAAAGTACATGTCGTCAATGCCCAGCTCGTTGTAGAACCACTTGGTTTCTGACTCTACGAGCTCTGGAGGCATGAAGCCCTTCTCCTCAACGCCGTCCATAACGGCCTCCATCTGCTGGGCCTTGCCCTCGAAAACGGGTGCAACATATCCGGAGCCGCCCGAGCCTTCCTGTGGGATTGTTCGAGGTGTTGAACTTCCTGAGCCCGGTGCGCTCAGATGTGTGGGAAGAGGTGAGGGTCGGCGGTCTGGAGTATGGAGAAGCTGCTCGAGCTGCTTGTGCTGGGGTGCGAGGCCATTGACGGCTTCAATCGGTGTGGAAGCCATGCTGGGCGTGTGCAATTGGGGTGTGTGGTCTTCAGCGAGGTGCTGTTATAGCGATTGAGACAATGCTATTTGAATTGCGTGCTCGGTGAGACGCGTCAGGCGTGATGATAAAGCGCACGAAGTTTGGACGATCGGGCAATAGTGGGGCCCTTGATGATAGAGGGGCAAAACCCAAGCCTTGAGCTCGCAAAACACTAAAAGAAGGGCTTGTTAGTCGACGATTCAAGGCATCCGACAAATACGATGCACCGCTATTTCGGGCATCGTAACTGCCATGACGCAGGAACGCTAGCTTACCTTCTAGTACAACCAACGAGCCGCAGCCGTCGATCACCGCTTCGGATAACGATGGTACAGGCAATTGGACAGATGATCCACCGCTCTTCTGTATCCTGCCCTGGGGAATCGGGATGGCAGCTTGTGTACAGGTAGATGTGCAGTAGTCCGTATACCCGTCTAATGCATCCGATGCCAGTCAAGACGTAAGTGACAGCGACCCTGCTAGTACGACGCTGCAATCTTCGAGGTACCTGGCGGTGCAACAGTAACACCCTGGTATGCCGATATCAAGATAAGATGCGGGAGTAATAATAGTAGACAAGAATGAGGCTTGCAAAGAGGGTACGGTCGGTGCCCCAGCAGCGAAGGCGGGCCCCGTCATCTTTATAACCTTTCACGTCTTGTCTCATGGTCGTTGGAGGCTCGGCAGCGGCGTACCTGAACTCAACCGCGGAAAGCCGAGTCAAGCTTCCCCAGAATGTGCAGCCGCTAGCGCCTGCACCGCAGCACCCACCTGGGCAAACTTCACGTAATTAGAAACGGGGCCACCAAGCCGGTGCTCGCAGTGCTCCAAGAACATGACCTGCAAAAAAGCCGCATCAGAGTTTTCCTCAATCCGCCGACCGAAACCTGGCCTTGACTGCATGAGCTATTGCACCATATGCGCGCGCAATGAGGAGCGCCGTCAAGGCCGCCGCATTAGTGCCTCCTCACCTCGCATCCCCACCTACGCGTCCTGCAGATTTGAACTCACGATCCTTGGCGCCGTCTCCAAACGGTTTCCATGACTGATGGGGCCCCCTGGGACTGGCTTGTCTGCTGCACGTGCTGCCAGTCCGGGTGTTACAGGCCACGTCTTCCAGGAGTTCCGATGGCCGGTCATGAGGCGAAGGGTCATCCAGCCCGCCGGCAGCAGGTCACGATGCCCGCCGCTTCCGAGCCAGGACCATCGCACGACCAGTGAAGCCGTCATAATACACCGCTCTCCATGTCACGATGCTTCGTGTCAGCTGCAGTGCCACGGCGATTACAAAGTCTGGATTTCACGATCCTCGCCACAGTGCTATTTTCGTGCGAGCTGGCATCTAGACTGTCTAATCACATAATAGGGTTCAGAACGTTGGGTATCCTCAATCCTCCTCACCAAACTCCTTGCCGTTGATCGTCAGAAGCACTTTGTATCCGTGTCCTCCTATCCAGTTCTTCTTCTTCCCTGCCTTTTCCACCTTTTTGAGCGCTGCATGAAGCCCTTCATCGAGTTCGTCCGGCTCCTTGGTAAACTTGAAATCGATACATAGTTTCTCGTTTTCTTTCTTTGTCGTTGTCCACTGGGAAGTGATTTTCACCCTCTTCTCTCGTATCAGACCCGCGGGATAAACGCTGGCCAGAACTGCAGCAACGCGGCCAAGTAACATACACCACCATCGCAAGTCTTCTGGCACGAGCTGCAGCATTCGGCGGTAGAAGTCCTGCTCTGTTGGACTGATAGAACCGTAGCCACCGTAGCGCTCGCAAAGGAAGATGGCAAGTATCGCGCGGTCTTCGTGTGTCAAACCGTGTGCAGAAGAGAACAAACCGGTCGTTGTACTTCGGAGTGCAGCTCCAGCTTGGAGGTCCTTGACTTGCCCCATGTGTGCAAACATAGCACGCCCAAAAGCTCTCTGCATCTCGTAGTTGAACAGTTCTTGACGAGACGCTGTTGGCGGAGGGGTACTGACTTCCTGCAATATCGCCATAAACTCCCCGCTCGATGGCTTAGCGTATCTCATCGTAGTTTCGAACAACGGACTGGGCGTGAGCCACATCTCTGAGAAGTACATGCCTTCCCTCACACCGCCTTGGCAGAAATACACATCTTTGATGCTCGGCAGTGCTTTGGACAAGCAGTTCACCAGGAAAGCAACTGCTGGAACCTGACTTGCTCTACGGGCCGAGACCCGAAAGATGTCCGGTGTATCCTCTCTTTGCACCGCTGCTTGTACAGCCTGGGTGTCGTGAAACGCGTCCTTGGTCGTCCGGAACCCATTGATGATGGGTATGGGGTATGGCTGAATCGCATGCTCCGACATGAGCACAAAACCCCAGCCTCGGAAGCCGCCTCCAGACAAGTAAAGCGAGAGACCTTCGGGTGACTGTGAGCGGTCAAGCAACTGCTGTGGTACCTCTATGTATTGTACCGCAGCTTTGAGATCCGCAATGACTTGGCTTTCGAATGTCCGGAATGCATCGCTATCAGGAGAGCCTGCTTCCTCGAGCCTCTTCGCGAGGGCAGCCGCGCCGTATGGTAGGCTTGCACTTCCTTTCTCGCATGTGTCAATTTGGCCGCGCTGAGACGGAATCATCCAATTGATCTGTGTAGAGCCTCCACCAAGATCCATCATGAGTCCAATCGGGTTATGATAGGAGCTCGCTACACCGAAAGCTCCAATCCGGCCTTCCATTTCCTTCGACAAGAGTTGTACAGTCCAGCCAGTAGCATCCTTGATCCTGCTTTGGAAGTCTTCAGAGTTGCTGGCTTTCCGAGTAGCTTCAGTAGCTACAATCTGAATCTGCTTCTCGGGTACTCCAAAATCTTCACATGTATCCTTGAAACGCAATAGTGACTTGACCACTTGTTTGATAGTCGGTTCTGGTATCGGCACCACCTGGCCATTTTCGTACTGCGCATCGTAGAGCGAAATTGCTGCCCGATCCAGGTACACAGTCGGCAACAGCCTACTCGTCGCTGGCGTCAGGTCGGTGATCGAAAAGCGGATCCCGTTGCTCCCCATGTCAACCAACCCATGGAGGTGTCTTGACTCGTCTGTCGTGACCATTTTGGTAGTGCAGGTTCCCCGGATTTGCGATTGGTGCCCCAGATGTCAGCCAAGAGGCAAGCGGAAGAAACGGTGCGAACCGTAGAATTTTGATGGCGTGATTAACGCGGTTCCAGTTCGAGACTTAGTTTCTGTTACCCCCAGGAAACTCCTTAGCGGCGCTGTTGTGTCCCGCCTTATGCAAGAGTGATATTGATTACCCCCAGCTTTCTGAAGGTGGTTTCTATTACCCCCAGATTACTTGAGAGGTTGTTACAGCAGTGTCTTGTGATGTGAAGTATTTTCTGGGCTGACTTTCTGTGTTCGCGATGACGTTGCGGGGGTCCCCACTACCTGTATCGAGGAAGATTATTACGCTAGCATTCGTGACCAATCATGCGAGGGTAGGACAGAGACTTTGGCAGGAACGTTCTATGACCGCGGCCGCGACGACATTAGAAGGCGCTGTGGAGATCCAGGTCGTGGTATCGGTCTTGTCACCTAAGCGCCGAGCAGACTCAGCCGACTAAGTAGTAATGGAACACTCAGATGTATCATGGAAGAGATAGAATTGATTGCCTGTTGCGCACTGCAGAAGGGCGTGAGAGATATCAAAGGGCGCTGTGAGGGCTGAAAGACGGCAGTCGGCATCTTTAAAGTCGGAAGCGAATCATGCTTTGTATGGCCAACTCTTCCGCATCCAGTGTTCGATCAAGTCGACTTCGTGGGTGGCTGAGCAGACCGCGACGGCCGGAGCATGCGATAGCAGTCGACGAGAAACTGCCGTTCGAAGAAAAGAACATGCAAGACGTAAACACCACCCACTGCACCCATACTGATCAGCTCCCCGAGCACTCCAAGCCGTCCAAGGAAGCTGATTGCAGGCTTCGTTCGCATCAGGGTAGGTATGACAGCCGCGGGCGCCACGGCAGCAAGTGAGGGCAACGTCTCGAGTACATTGAACTCGGAGCCGTTCTTCGCGAAGAACCGCCTAACGAACCAGGTATTCCAGACGATGCGCAAACCCATGTTGACCGTGTTTGCGAGTACCACGCCGTTGCCTCCCATTTCGAGCTGGCCGATGAAGAACCACGCACTAGCCGCGAAGAGCGCAAAGAAGATGCCCATGGAAATGGACTGTGCGTATAGCTCTTTGTTGGTTGCCACTGCGGCTACAAAAGCCTCCGTGACTCCGTTGATAGCGAGAAAAGGTATGTAGTAGCAGTAGGTAGAAAGTACCTGCGAAGCAGAGGTTGCAGACCACTTTTTCCCGGCAACGATGGAGAGAAGTACTGGGGCTAGTACAGGTCCTAGTGTAACCGCGAACAATGAGATGATTCCGTAGAGTCGAAGTATGGTACTCAATACCCTAGAAGCTTGAGCAATGTTTTGCTTTTGTTCGTCCGACTTCTTTAGATCCTTCTTTTCCGTTGACGATGATGTTTCTACATTGGCGCATAGCTTGGCGAACATGTTGCGACTACTTTCTTCAATGGGTTGGAAAAGCATGCGTGCAATGAGACCTCCATAGTTTGAAGCGAGCGCATAGGCGCCTTGATCTGCGAGAGATGCCAGTGTTGTAATGAGAAGAGAGTCTCCCTGGGTGAGAACATACTTCAACGCCGACTGCAGACTAAGAGATGCAGTCAGTCGCAGCAGAGGAGCTGAGAAGTAATTCATCAATGTCGGGTTTTCCTGAGTGGATGGTACTCTTTCCGGGAACAGCGAGAAGCCATCAGTCTTTGCAACAGGCCACGTTTTGTACGAATACACAACAAGCAAAGCCAATGCATACGCCAGCTGCCCGATAGCGAATGGCAAGACCCCAATGTCCAGGCCAGCTCGACTAGCCAAGATAGCTGAGCCACATGTACCAACGCAGCGCAGCAAAGTAGCTGAACTCTCAGCCGACGCTCGAACCTTGTAAAGTAGCTTCTGCTGCACAGCAGAAAACGCCGGCTCGCTCAGCAGTTCCAAGAAGGTAGCTAGGCAATACACAACCAGGGCCTCCATGAAGTACGGAACGTTTGGCGTATCGGAACGCATCCATAGTAGCGCGAGAAGATACGCCAGAGGCGTGCCGAAAAAGACAGCGAGATACGAAAGGTTGACGACAGCCTGCGTCCCATGAGCCTGACGCTGCAGCGCCACACGCAGACTCTCGCGGGCAAAATACAACACAGAGATGGAGAACAGCTCCAGCTGCGCCGACACGCCCAATAGCTCTGGTGATAAGAACCTCAACAGAACCTGATTGACAGCAAACGTCAGCGCGCGAGAAGCCACCTGCAGGAGGATGAGAAAGGTGGCTCCCTTCGCGGAAGCGGAAAGTATTGAATTCGACATGGTAAAGGCTGGATCTGACCGGAAACGACGAAGAAGCTTTGGAAATGATGTAAAGCGCTCTTCAGGACGCCATCTTGATTGGTTGTGTGGTTGTATGCGGTGTGTTTGAACAGCTGGAGTTTTGGAGATGGGCGTTACATGTCTCTAAAGGGAATAGCGCTTGACGCGTGCTGCAAGGCACAAGCGCAGGCCACAGCGACAGCGACAGCTTGATGACATGACACACGACACAATGTGAGTCTTAATCAGCGCACAGTACAGCCGGATGGCTCGATATTACCTTCTCGTTCCGCACGCTCGCGACGATGGTGGTGGTTGACCCGCAGATATTCGCGAGGACCGAACGCCTGCTGCTGCGGCCGTTGCGCCTTGAAGATGCAGAGGACGTGTTGTTGATGCGGAAGCATCCGGAAGTTATGAAGCATACGTCTCTTCTACCTTCAGATGACCTCGAAGGCACGAAAGCATGGATTCAAGGTGTAAGCCTACTACCCTACAGAATGCATCTGGATGTATGCTAACCGTCTACAGTGTCACCAGGTTGAAGGCAACTGGAACTTTGCAATCGTCCTCCTAGCGCCACACGAAGGCCCGCACGTCATCGGCTTGATAGGAGCAGTCCGCGCCCCAGAGATTGGCTACATGTTCAACGCCGAATACTGGGGACGAGGGTACGCTACCGAAGCGTTGGAAGCGTTCATGCCCTTGTTCTTCGAGCATTACTCGGGCCGTGATATCGCGGACTATGTGTCGGAAGACTACGGACAAGGCACATATAATGGGAAGGCAAACAATGGACAGGTAGAGGGAGATGGGAGGAACAACAGGAACAGGCTGGCACCGAGGTACGACTTCGCGGAGGCACATACAGACACCGAGCTGGCAGCTAGTCAGAATGTCTTGACAAAGGTCGGCTTCAAGCTACATGAGAAGAGGGAGAACGACTTTGACAATCCTGTCCTGGGCATGAGGTCGACTTATATCTACAGGATGTATAGAGCTGCCGCTGAAGCAAAGCCTCCCAGGTAGACCCTGAAGGGCTGTATATCTAGACAAGCTGCCTACGCGCATACCACGTGTTCGTTTGTGGCATCACCAAAGCGCTTTGACCCTTGTGTGCTCCCACCCATCTCCCGTCTTATCTCGAAACCGTTCTGCAACTTCAAAAGCTGTAGTATCTGATTCTTTGATGCCCTTTCTTTTCTTGGTCCGTTCCATATCACTGTCACTGGATTCGTCGTCGCTGGACGGAGTTACGATGTTTCCCAGCATCTTTCGCAGCCGTGGATCATCTTCGATCTCGGGACCAGCATCGCTATGTTCTTCTGCTGCGATCTCGGGATCGTCAGTTTGGTGAGTGATGTGCTTGTCAGTATAGACTTGCGCGAAGTAATCTACAGCTGGTGTGGTAACCATGGGCTGTGTAGATGACATAGTGGCGGGTAGTGATGGAGAGTCATTAAGCTTGTGGCGCCAATGAGGTATCTTCCACCTCGACTGCTGGTGACGTGCATTGTCTGGCGTCTCGGGCACATCGTCGAAACAGTCCCGTGTGACGATGAGATCTCCTCTTCCGCAGGCACGCATCATGCCCTCTTCCGAGGAAGCGGGGCCCCAGTTGGAATTTGGTGTAACAGAGGTGCGTCGTACCTCAGGGATTTGGAAGGTGTAGGTAAGAACACTGCCAATCGACGGGTCCGAGGGGTGACGTTTTCCGTCATGTGGGCTTTCGACAGGTATCTCTTCTTCTATGTCTGCTTCTACTTCAATGCACAGAGCAGACTGGGTATGCCTGAGACGATGTAACGAGGGTATACGTTGAACGGGCTGGGAACTAATCTTTTGGCGTTCCGCGCGACTGTTAGGCTTGTCCTCAGATCGTGTTCGTTTCTGCTTCTTTTGTTTCGAAGTCGTGCGACTAAAGAATATCGTGTCATGTCGTCGCCGATAGTTCTTTGACACTGCTGCCTGACATATCAATTTGGAAAAGAACCCAAGTTCTGATGAGGAGCTGGAGCTTTCTCGTGATAAGGTGCTCCGTGAGTCTTCACGTGTGATTATCGCTGGCGGCCCATCTGTCCATCCGCTCGCAGTGAAGTGTGGTATATAATCACTGCTTTGTTTGCGTATCTTACGCCTCTCACTGACGTATTGCGCCAGCTTCTCTTCGGTCGAAGGCCCCGTATAAAGCCCAGGCCAAGATTCAGTCTCGGAAGGTGGGCGGGCTTGGTGACCGGCGGCTGGAGAATACCGGTGATGAGAATGTGAGCGCAGGGCTGTCACGAATTTTCTCTCTTTTCGCTGCTGGAACAATGGCATATGATTTGCGCTCGAAGGGGGTGAGAGGGTATAGCACGCTGCTAGCAACTGCAAAGCGATGAGTTGGAGAACCGTCTCGCAGGCGACGATGTTACTTGGAGAGACATCTGTCATAGTTTTGTCGTCATGAAGTTGTTCGAGTAGTTGGTTTGCAGTTGGAAGTGTCTGTATCTGTCAGTTCGAAGAGCAGCGCGCTTGGCTGAGAGCTGCTAACGCGACGAGGCTGCCGCGCTCGAGGCGCCCAGAACTCATCACATTCTTGCGACTGCATCCAGTCTCCAATCTCTCTCGTGATTCTTGCTTCTGATTTCGCAGACGGAAAGTTGTCGTCTGGTGTATCTTGCGCATAGTCGTCATTGAGCCGGGTGACATAGCCACCGTCTTTGCCAAATAGCCAGTGGAAGGATGTGTCGGCAGCATCTATGGACTGCTCTGGAATGATGCCGACACTCAGACTGTCTCGCATTCGCTGCATCGGGATGGGTAAGGGGAGAGTTTACGTAGGTAGTAGGATGATAGATCAGGTATGAGATAATAGAATGCGGAGGAGACGTGACCGTAGAGCTAGTCCATTGGAAGCACGTCTGAAGAGGTAGCCATGCGCGGTCTAGAACAAAGGCGCTTCGAGCTTACGTTTTAGCGGCAGGTACACTGATGGACGACGTGGCAAGTGCACCTAAGTAGGTCTTACGCGGTGACAGCACTCTTGCGGATACTGCAGCATACCGCTTTATCCTACTACGCTTAGAATTGATCGAGCCATCTTCTGTCGTCGGCATACGCTTTGAGACAGCTCTCCTCACTCGCAAGGGTGCTTCGCGACTTGCTTGAATGACGTAGCACGTGGTGGTCCTACCTCCTTCGGCTATCCACTGCTTTCGCATACATCTCACGTACCGCCCATGACCGAGTCGCCATGTTTTTGCGAGGTACCAGTTCCTGCATCGGCGATCCCAGTTGTCGCCTTTTCTGCCACTAGACGCGAGCCCTCTGGTGTCTTCGAGATTGCCAAGCGCGACTTCTCTCCTCTCTTTGCTTTGGCCTCATTCAACCTGGCAAGGAAGCTCGACGAAACGGATGAGGCCTCTTCGTTGCTGGGAGGCTGAGCGTTTGACGTGTTGTCTACGCTTGTTGTAGCACCCTGTTTGCCGTCTGCAGCAGGCGCGACCTCTGCTGTCTGCTGCGTATTACTAGCGTCGTCGAAGAGGTCGTCGCGCGGTCGCAAACGTCCAACCTTTGCTACCAGCTTTGCGGAGCCTAGAGCTAACAAGTCGACCGATGGCAGAGATCGCAGCGTGTCTGATTGAGTTGATGAGTTCGCGTTCGGCTTCACGAAGAACATGTCGGTTCCGACGGTCGAGGTCCAATGGCAACTCAGCAACTGGCCGTTGTACATGACCAGTGGGTTTGGGGTGTGAAGCCCAACGATTTGGACTTCGCCCATGGTTGCCGTCTCTTGTCCATCGTTGCCGTCGGGAGCGAACTCGGCTGGTTGAGCTCGAGCGGCATTCAGTGCGCGCAATCGGCTCTTGAGCAGAGTCGGATGGCCTGGTCTACCCTGCGAGACCATGGGTATCTGCGCTGCAGGGACATTAGACAAATCGAGCGGGATGTAGAAATCTTCCGTCTCGTTCTCGTCGTATTCGTACTCCCACTCGTCCTCCTCAGGCGCGGCCATGATTAGCGGCGTTGTTGTGCGTTGGCGCGGGGTGAAGGATTGTAAAGCTAGCAGTGGTGGGGCCGGGTGAGAGAAGGGTGCAAATTGGTCGCCAACTAGAGGGGTTCGACTTGCACGGAAGCATCAGAGCTGACAAATGTTGCTGGAATATTAACGTTATCGTTGCCCATTTTTCCATCGAAAAACCAAGCACGACTTCGTTTGAAGTATTCTCCCCGTAGCTCAGTTGGTTTAGAGCGTCTGACTGTAATATCTGCTGTTATCAGAAGGTCCCTTGTTCGACTCATGGTGGGGAGATCGTTCTTTTTTTGCGTTCCGTCGCGAACGTGGCGGTGTC